TCCGCACTATGACTCTCTAGCACGCATATCGAGACATCACAAACTATTGTTGCCTATGACCAATTATCAAATCACATCTCAGATTTCTGACCGATAGAATACATAATTTACATAAAACACATTCCTACGTAATTCAATTCGGAAGATCTGCATCACAGATTTCTAATCCGTTGCTTCCAAAGATCCAAATTATACTTGTAGAACAACATCATAAGGTTTCATTACAATCCAACGGTCGGATCTCCGCCAATTGCCAAAACCAAATGACGGTTAACATTTTATTTTATGAACTTATAATTCCAATTCGGAAAAATTCGTACGTCAGATTCCCGATCCGTAAGTTTCTATGGTCCTCAAATATTACGTACTAATATGTACCAAAGTTTGGTGACAATCAAACGGACGAATCATCGATTCATATAAAAGTCAAGTGATGTATGGTAATGAAACTAAGTTCAAACAATCAAACCACATTATATGAATATCAATTATGACATCAAAACATCTAATTGAACTTAAAAGGACATTGTAGACCCACTGGCCAGGCCGCCGCCACACGTGCCGCTGCGGGTGGTGGCTGGCGGCCACGGTTTGTCGAAAAATTCCACTATTTCTAAAAATTATCAAATTTTATAGAAATGAAGATCTCAAAGAGATGAACAACTTTCATACATGCCACGAAGTCCAAAAGTGGACGAAAGATGGTCAATTTTTCCCACAAAGCCGGTAGTGCCTAAAACTTCCCGGTGTTGATTTGTTTTCTACGGTGGACCAACGGGGTCAAGGTTGGTTGGGATTTTCTCCTGGGATGATGGGTTACAAAGGTCAAGTGGTGGCATCGACCATCGCTTTGCCGATTTGTCTAAAAATTGAAAAGAGTGGTCGGACACGATTTTGACGGGTCGGATTTCGTGGCTTCGCCCCGCCACATGTGGTGGTTTCTAAAGGTGGTTCTTGGTGGGTTTTGTAGAGGGGAATGAGAGCTTCAAGATGGTGGTGGTGGCGTCGAAAAACTCCACCGGAGTTGACCGGAATCGGCTTTGGAAGATGGGTGGTTGCAATGGGTGAGGGTGCGGGTGCACGGAAAGCTGGGAGCTTTCCTTTTTTTTTTTTTTTAATAATTTCTTCTTTTCCTGATTTCTTATTGGGCTGTTGCCCTCTCCCTCTCTTCTAATTGGTTCATTGTCCCTTTAATTTAATTGGTCCACTATTCCCATATGGTGGGAGTTCAAAATTAAACTAACAAGTAACCAATTTCAAATTTTCGTAACTATACCGTTATAATCCGGACTCGCAAACGGCTTTCGCCCATACGTTCGTACCATCGAGTACTATGCAAATATGCCAAAAGAATAAGACATACGTTCTTCTAGACGATGGTCAACAGAAATCAAAATCCTTGCCTCTAGACATTTTTGTCAATTCCCTCGATTAAAATAAATAAAAACGAAATTTTAGGGACGGGTTGTTAAAATCAAGTTCAAAGACTAATCAGATAAAGAAGAATACGTGCATGGATAATGGAGGATAATGATTACATTTTTGGTAAATGGCAAGGTGATGGAAGATAATGATTACATTTTTGGCTGCAATGGGTTTGCATTGATGAGACAAACAATAAGGGAGCATTATATGGCTTCCACGTGGAAGATTAAATGCACTTGTACATGAGAATTATCTTAAGGATAATTTCAAATACATGCATATTAGCAACGTACGGGAGAAGGTCAATGCTTTGATACGTCTAGCATCAGGATAGTATTCCACAAGTCAAATCCTACGATAGTATGACACATCAAGCAAGTTTTCTATAAATACAAGGCATTTTGCATCATTCAAGACCCTTTCAAATCAACACACAAATTGTCCTGCGCAAAACTTCTCATCCACCTTGAGAATTTTATCCTTCTCCCATTTCTTCCAGCCAACACATCTTCAATTTGGATAAACAACACTGGAGCCGTAGAATCAGCCAACTGAGGAGAACTTTTAGTTTGGATAAATAACACTACTTATAAACCGACTGATTATTTATCCAAGTCTCGGTTGACAAGGATTTTCGAGTCCTTGTTGGTAGAGGTTATCTCATCAGCCTTCTCGGCAAAGTAAGGTGTTATAGGTTACTACATTCGGCACATTGAAAGCCGAATTTAATATTTGATATTGAACTTCACAGAACTAGCAGCCTTGTCTTTAGGCTCTAGAACCCGAAGGCCGAGACGTGTTCCTTCCTCGGCCGCAGTCGCAAGATCAATAAGTTAGCAGCGTGTCCAACGCGACATCAACACATTCTACTCCCCGGCCGAGCTCGGCTGACAAGTTAACCGCCTCGCACACAACTGAAGGACGTAGTTAGCTTATTAATTACTCGGCTTGCATGTCACGTAGGCTTGGTAGTTTTTAGGGTCAACAGAAACTTAAGGCTCGGTTTGAGAGAATTTTACTATTCTATGTCAAAGTAGCAGTTTTAACATCTTCCTTAGAGATGTTTTGTAATTAGTTTAATTAAGAGACTAAAAGTTTTAAAATACACTTGGATTGCTTTAAATGACTTGGCATGACACATCACTTGTCATATACTTGTCATATACGGTGGTTTATAATTGTGATATAAAAAGATTGTCACCTTAGCATTTTCCTTGAAAATTGTTTAGCAATGTATTTGTAGTTGAAGTGCTTTAAACTTTAAAGCATACACTTATGCATCTATGTTACTTGTATCAAAGAAAGATAACTTGTCTAAGACATTAAGTGGAGAGAAACTTACTTACAACATGTCGTGTACAAACAAAGTCATGTTTAGATTGATACATGTGTACTTGTGTCATGTTTATGTCCAACCACAAGTGGTCGATTCACAAAATTGTTCAAAATAAATTACGATACACAATAATTCATAGTACTCTTTAAACATAAAAAAGTAAATGAAACAAACTAGGATTAATTAATATACAATTAGTTTAGTAGTGTTAATCACGTACATGAAAAATGCTAAGGAGACTCTCAAACGTGAGATTCTCTATAGACTCTTCCTCACCTCATGTTTTTGGCACAATTTTTGTACCAACAGTATAAAATATTGTGTAAAAATCGTGAAGTGACAGAGAGTCCATAATCTCACTTTGAGAGTCTTTTTAGCATTTCTTTCATATAGATGTTGAGTCTTACATTTGTCTCATGATGAGGTTGTGTCATCGTATTGTGCCACATATTATAACAACATCCACGCATTTGTGACAATATTATAAGTTAATCGTTTATGAATTACATAAGAAATAGATTGCCTAGGTCCTAGGTGTGACGTAGTCAGCATCATTGTGTAAAACGCACCAGTTAGCCAGACGGTGGTTGGATATTACTTGGTTGGAAATAAGCTAGCCAGGTCTCACGTCTCCCTCTGGATCCTGAGATGATTGACTGTTCCAACACAGAAAGAGCCCTTAAACTTTGTATATATATCTACCAGATTAATTTACGTTTTTATTTATATATATATATTTTAATAAATGATATTATTTATATTAAAAGAAAGATGAAATTGACGTAGCTTGACAAAGAATTAACAATAATATGATTCAAATTAATTTACAATGAGCCGTCCACCATAGAAGTTGCAGCTCTCATGTTGTTAGCATGTTCTGCTTTGATTTTGAGCAAATTCCATTGGCATTTTTATTATTTATTTTAATCTCTCTTTTTGGTAAATAATTTTCTCTTTTAGTTAAAAAGTTTGCAGTTGTATGTCAACATTTCCGATAAAAATTTGACTCTTAATCTTTCGCGTGAAATAACGATACTAACTTTTTGAGGTTTCAATTTGCGAACTTGCAACGTGATGCTTGACAATAAGTGCATGGTTATTTCAAAGACGCCTACTTCCCATAAAATGATATATTTTTTTAACTTGTTATATAACAATATTGTTAAGTATCTTTCACCAACTTATTAATATAATAGACTCCTATTGTTTTGTGAGAATATATTTGTCACATGCGATTGTAAGAGGGGAACATTTGACATAAAAGTTGTCGCAAAACATTTTTGTTTAAAAACAATTGGTCACCATTAGCATAATATGGTTAGATTGATGACCAATAAACTAAATAATGGTCTTAACCAAAACAATAAATAAATATGCAACTAACTTTATATTATACATCTTTTGCGTTTCGGAATTTGGGTCAGTTGCTACCAAAAACTTAACCCTTTTTTTTTTTATGTTACAACAAAACTTAGCCTTTTCTAACAAAAAAAAAGAGACAACTATGAAATTCCCGCTTAGCCATGTCTAGACGGTTGGAGATCGCTCCCGATTAATTCCTAGGCCTTCGAAAATTAAGAAATGCGCCTAGACTGTTCAGACCCACATAAGTCGCGACTTTCATTCAGACAAAAAATAAATAACATTTATTTTGCATTTTAATTTTTTTTTCAATAATCTTAAGAGACTTGTTGAATACTGATGAACACACATTATATACTTGTTTCTCATGTTTTTATTATCTTCTAACGTGGTGATCTATATGTCACTCTATTTTGCAGTTTATGAATTTTAATAAAATTATATGTTTTTAAAGTATAAGTAGACACTTATTTATATGATATATAATGAATTTACTTAAATCCACCTAATCCGTCGAGACCTGTTTAGGTGCCTGAGCGGTAGGTCCCAAACCGTGGCACACAACTATTTAAATTTTAAAATTTGAACTATAAAAAAATAAAAACAAAAATAGAAAAAAAAAAAAAAGCAAAATATCGGAGGGGGTTGAGGGTATATTACTCCTACCCTATGAGAAACGTCTCCTTTTTACACCCACCACTCAAAAATCAAAATTACAAACTCCCAACAAACCAACAAGCCACATCCCAACAATTCCCAAACTCCACAAAAAGCCTAAGAAATTCAATCATTCAAATCACCAATAAAAACAATAACACAAAAAATCCCTACTTTGAGAAATCGAGAGAGAGAGGACCGGCCGTCCATTCCCCAAGGAATGGCAGACCTCAAACCCAAAACCACCGACAACGGCAGCACTTCCACCCCCTCAAGCCCAACCACCGCCACATCTCCCACCCGCACGACCAGCAAATCCAAAAACTGCCCTGCTCTGCTTCTGGGTCGCTTCGAAATCGGCAAACTCCTCGGCCATGGCACCTTCGCCAAAGTATACCTCGCCAAAAACGTCAAAACCAACGAGAGCGTCGCAATCAAAGTCATCGACAAGGAGAAGATCCTCAAGGGCGGTTTGATCGCTCACATAAAGCGGGAGATCTCGATCCTCCGCCGCGTTCGCCACCCGAACATCGTCCAGCTTTTCGAGGTCATGGCCACGAAAGCCAAGATCTATTTCGTGATGGAATACGTCCGCGGCGGCGAGCTCTTTAACAAGGTCGCAAAGGGCCGGCTGAAGGAGGAAGTGGCGAGGAAGTACTTCCAGCAGCTAGTCTCCGCCGTCGGATTCTGCCACGCCCGCGGCGTCTATCACCGCGATTTGAAGCCGGAGAACCTATTGCTCGACGAGAACGGAGACCTCAAGGTTTCCGATTTTGGGTTGAGCGCGGTTTCTGATGAAATTCGACAAGATGGTCTCTTTCACACGTTTTGCGGCACGCCGGCGTACGTCGCCCCGGAGGTTTTGGGCCGGAAAGGGTACGACGCCGCGAAGGTGGATATTTGGTCTTGTGGGGTTGTTTTGTTTGTGCTCATGGCTGGATATTTACCCTTCCATGACCAGAATGTTATGGCGATGTACAAGAAGATCTACAAAGGCGAATTTCGATGCCCCAGATGGTTCAGTGCCGAGCTTGTTAGGCTTCTATCCCGCCTTCTCGACACTAATCCGGAGTCGAGGATTACAATCCCGGATGTTATGGAGAATCGGTGGTTTAAAAAGGGTTTTAAGCACATCAAGTTTTACATTGATCACGATGATCGGCTCTGCAATGTTGTTGATGATGATGAGGAGGACAGGTTTAGTGATGTGAGCTCTGTTTCAGATTGTATGTCGGAATCTGAGGCGGAGTTTGAGACCAGAAGAAAGATTACATCTTTACCCAGACCGGCTAGCCTGAATGCGTTTGATATAATCTCGTTTGCCCCCGGGTTTGATTTGTCCGGGTTGTTTGAGGAGCGGGGAGAGGAGCCGAGGTTTGTGTCGGGCGCCCCTGTTTCGACCATCATATCGAAATTGGAGGAGATTGCGAAAGTCGTGAGCTTTTCGGTGAGGAAGAAGGATTGCAGAGTGAGCTTGGAAGGGTCTAGGGAAGGTGTTAAGGGGCCATTGACAATTGCGGCTGAGATATTCGAACTTACGCCTAAGTTGGTGGTGTTGGAGGTTAAGAAGAAAGCAGGGGACAGAGCTGAGTACGAGCAGTTTTGTAATACCGAATTGAGACCGGGGTTGCAGAACTTGATGATTGAGGAGAGTGCTGCTGGTGCTACCGCTGCTGCTCCCGCTCCCGCTCCTTATCTACCTTCGGATACTGAATAGGGAAGAAGAATGGGATATCGGTACGATTCAATCTCTTGTTTTCTGATTTTCTGAGGCTAATGTAAAGGTTCATCTTTCATTGATTTTTTTTCTGTTTCTTATGGTTTTGTTTTTGCAATTAGGTGGAGCTTTTAGATACTTGCTATGTAATGTAAGCTCTGTTCTTGTATCGAGAAAGCTATAGATTAGATTACAGAGAATGGAATTCAAAATTTCAATTCATACCTTGGATGTGTTTGTGGTGGCTGAATGTATGAGTGTATATGCTTATATTATTTATGATATAAAAAATCCATAACAATATACTCTTTTGTTCTTATAACATAATTGCAGTGGATTTTGATGACATTTGTGGGAAGTAAAATCGTTAGGATTTTGTCCTTCCTGAATGAGTAGTTACTATTTTTGCGCAAAAGTTCTACAATGCATTAACCAGTGTTTTAAAAAACAAGCCTTGAGGTGCGCCTAGGCAACCTTCGAGGTGGGGCTGTGAGGAAAACGCCTCTGTCCAGCGGGAGTAGGCTTGAACTCACCTAAAGCGTCGAGGCATGCCTCAGCGTCAGCTGGGGCGTTTTTTTTTTTTTTGTTTTTTGTTTTTTAAAGGTTAGGGTTTCTCACCTGCAGTGAAGAAATTTTTTATTTGATTGTTGATTATTCTTCTATAATGTTTGATTTCAACTCTATATGTTTGATTTTGACTCTATTGTGGATTACATTATATATAGCTATATATATATTAATAATTTTAGGTCTCACACCTCAAGGCTTTCGCCTGGCGGGTGTATCCATGAAATGTCTTGGCTTTGCCTTCGCCTTTTAAAACATTGTCATTAATGTTTTGCATACATTGTGTTGTGGGATCTTTTAAGTTGTTAGATACGATGGTTTCATCTTTTGAACAGTTAAAATCTAATCGTCCAGTTGAGCAATACATTGCATACCTATGCATATAGAAAATCTCCTTTTTGCGACTGATTTTGCACTCTTTGATGCTTTCTGCAATCTTGAGTTAACAACGTTGAGTTCGCGTAAGTCTCTCTCGGTAAACACGAGAAAGACTTGCCTACACTGGATACGCCATTGTGGCGGATGTTTTGTCCACACTTTCCATATATGGGTATCTGGTTTCGACCTAGTTGAGTCGCATTTTGTTGGATTGCCCAGTTCCCTTCCTCTCTTCGACATGGCTGCACATTTAGGTCAAACTTTTATTTTCTGCAATGAATTGGAGAGGTCAGTTTCATCACCCAAATTGGGTGAAATGGTGGGGATAGAAAGGATGTTAGGATTTGAAGCCATGGACCACTTTGGATCTGCATTTTTATGCACCGTCGAAAGGTGGTTATTTGTTTGATGTGTTGAGAGAGATGTCGGGGATATTGAATGAATGAGATTGGAAAAAGGCAGGTGCAGTTCATGATCAATGTAATGGGTATTATACTTGAATGGAGAAAGATAACGAGATAATCTGTTTTATCACCATTTGTATACATTCATGTCTGATCACTTGATTTTATTTTATTTTATTGACTAGACACATGATTGTATACATGTGACGTCAAAAAATCTTTACATGGCAATATGAAGTGGAGGTTATTTTAAAATGATGCTAACCACACTCCTTTTTTATCTTTCACACTCTTCTCAGCTTTTGGTCATCAGATTGAATAAGTTAAAGAAGATCAAATGATAGAAGTTAACAAAGGTGTGAAAGATAAAAATGTACGTGGATAGTACCACCCCAAACATGTAATGATCTTCATATTCCAGTTTTTTCTTATGCACTTATCTTGTTTTTGTTCTTTGGTTATTTCTTTATTTATTCAATCTTAAGCTTAAGAATTAAAAAAATATTGTAAAAGGAGAAAGAGACAGCGCGAAAATGCTCCCGGCAACAAGGAAATGGAGGGTATTTTATTGACAAAACGACATGATATTAATGCACCTGCCAATGGAGCCCCTGCCTTTTTAATACTAATTTCGATAACTTTGCCACTTTTATCTCGTTTGTTTGTGGTGGCAAGTTGGCAACCACCATGGATGCTGATGAGCAACTTCTTGTCGGTATTGGGGGCCGACTTGTTTTACACCGTACAAAATGGAGCTCCCATTTCGGTCGCAAAGTCGTATTACAAAGTATAGGATAATCATCTTGTTTGCATGGACAAAAATAAACCTTGCTAAGAAAATGAAAAAGGGTCGGCTGCTTTTTTGGGTTTTACTGAAACTTGGTGGAGAGTGACAGGCTGACTAGTTCAAATCTTGTGTTTTATGGTGGAAGAGCTCTCAATCAAAAGCCTTGGTCATTGAACGCTAAACCATCCCATCTATAGTTTTTATACTCACCTTTTTATTTCAATACAAAGAAAATAATACCAATACGATAAACGCGTATATTGATATAGTTAAATTGGCTGATTAGAGAAGTGCGTCAGACTTCTTCTCTGGTAGTTTGAATTAGGTTAGGAACCGAACAACTTTATCATTTTAAAAATCAAGTTTTTGTATTCAACCTGATTGATAGATAACTAATAGTGTTTTTTTTAGTAGTTATTTTTATTTGGTTGGAGGAACTTTCAAGATGTTATATATATTGTTTGCCATTACATAAATAGATCGAAACAAACAACTAAACATTACTTAATATAGTTAAGATTGGAAATCTAGAATCTAATGGCAAAAACATTAGTTAACGATTTGACTCGATCTATTACGCATGCGAATCTACTAGGAATGGTAGTGACTGACCGCTACAGGCTTCCACTTCCGCGACAAAACAAGAATCAAAACTCCACCTGCAAGACGTGTACAAAGAATCGGAGAGAGTCATCGATGGAAGAAACATCAAAGATCATTTATTAGGATAATGAATGATGATGGTTTTAGTTACTAACTATCAAAAATGTCCGCCATGCTGCAAGTTTTAAAACCGTTTAAGATCTACTATTGCTTATATACATGTAGCTTCATATTCAACCGATTGCGAATGTCTTCCCTTGCTTCTTCTTCATATCCATTGGACTATTTTTGCCTAGATAAACGAAAAATTCAATTAGATAGCAAAAGTGGAAACCAAATATTTAAATGACTGATATTTTAAATGTCAAGTTTTGTACGGAGACACCCACGAATGCTCGAGCAGGAAGGAAGAGGTGGAGGAGGAAACTGGTGAACGTGATCCCACGTGACAATTTCAAAGGAGGCAGTGGTAGTGCTTGCCATCGAAAAGAGGGAATGACAGCTCAAGAACTCAATAGCAGGTATCGAGTGGGAATATCATACATTAAAAGTCGTCATCAATGACTTTATAATCCGTTCATTTGTGAGGTTGGCTTTACAGATGTTCGTCTATTGGCTAACCTCTTTGCCACCTCATGGGTGTGTCTCTCCAACAACAATTTAGGGTTAGGGTGTGACTGGTAGTTATCCCACTGCCTTGGTCGTAAATTCTTAGTGCTTTCTTTCTATCTTCTTCCATGGATTTCTGCAATTTATAATTCGATTTTCTTTTAGGGTTTGTTCGGGGTGGACTTTTGTTTACGATGGAAAGAGACCTATTAGAATCTCTCCAGTGAATGATAAAAACTTCTGTTAATGTTAGTAAGAAAACACTTAAAGAGTCTGTTTGATAATCATTTTGTTTTCATTTTTTGTATAGAAATCGAGAGAAAGTATATGAGAGAGATGAGAAATGGAGCAGGATGCAGTGGTCTGGTTAGGGTTTAGGGTTTAAGGTGTCGTGGCTTAGCCATAAAACGGAGTTTTAAGGGTTGAGATTTAGGAACCATACTTTTCAACGAAAGGATGCTTGAGCTTAATTTCATTGTTAGCTCATCAAATCTAATTGGAATACATAATAAAACATCGTTTTCCATGTTTTGTGCGTGGACAAATGGAGGGAAATACAGGAACGGACATGTGGATAAGAATACGTGACAGGATTTAGCGAAGGACTTTCAGTCTTTCAGATATTGTGAAGATAATGTTTTCTAATAGCAGTTATAGCTTATATTCTTTACATAAATAAGGAAAAGAACCACATATAATCGCATGGATTGGACGTTTAATGGGTTAGTCTTTTCTTTAATTAAGCCAAATCTTTTGCAAATCCTTTTTCCCACCTTAAATGGCAGCCAATCACACACCATTTCGTGTCCTCCTTGTGATGACAACAATTCTGTAATTACGTGTGATTAAAGCAAAATAGGCTAATTAAGCAGTGCTTACTACCGTATGTTTCATGCGGTGAACAATGGATTTTTATATTGGATAACTAAATTTGACAAGGAGTATTTCTAAAGGGAGAGGTCTCGATTTGCTAGTTAAGGTAACATATGGTGATCATTCTTCGTATCCTATCCTCAGAGCTAATTACAAATCACAATTTCTCAATAACATTCAGTATAAACCAATGGTCCAACATTTTGGTTAATTTGGTCATAAATTAGCTTATCAACTTGTTTGCTTCTTTTTTTTTTGAGGAGAGATTCTTGAATACGGCATATAGAGGAATTCTTGTGCATAACCAGCCAATTGACATTCCTCGTACACTTACAGATTGCCCTAAGTGCTAAAATTACAAAAGATTTTGATTTTATATTATGGCACAAACAATTGTGATTCTTCGTTTAGACACAATATTTCTCTTCTTATAGGGTTCTTTTTTTAGTTCAAGACATGGAAAAATTCTGGAGTACAAGTGAGAATACATCCTTATATTAATATCTCTTAGCACATGACTGAAAATTCTAATATGATAGTACTTTAAATGTGGTTCCATATTATTTAAATTAAAAGAAAAAACAAGAACATATATAGTTAGTCCCTAGCTTGCCCTTTAAATATGCAAATGAACATCCAAATTTTGCCCTTTTGTTGCTACAAGTTTAAACTAGTGATTCTATATTCATTCATCAATCTGGCTACATGATTGCAGCATCTCATTTACACATTTTCAGAACATCCAGCACTGCACTCAGTCTTCAGTTGTTCACCAGATGACCAGACTAGTAATACCTCTCTCTCTCTACCAATTGATCTCAAATTCGAAACAAATACGACATACAAAGCTTGTTAAAGAAGAAAAGGACTGAAAAGCTTTAGAAATAAAGATGAAAACGCGTTGAAGACACAAATTAAGCACAAGTTTTAGATAAAAATAAGCACTTCCCTCGTATCTAAGAAACGACTTCAGGTGCTACTACTAGCGGCGGTTGCTGTTGCTGCTCGGTTCCTTGCCAAGTCCATACTATATCCTTAAGAGAGGGCTTCAAGCCATTGTCACAGAACTCCATGTATTCCAATGTGTCCCCAGCCGTTTTCTTCATCTCCACGACATAAAATGAAGGTGTGACCTCGAAAATCTCAGCATCGATGCCTAGCTGCCCTTTCCTTCCTTCCTTGCTACCCTGTAGTTTAAGGGTTCCGTCTTTTTTCAGGCATTTGAACCTCTCCGTCTGTGCTATGGCTTCAAATTTTGAAACAATTGTCGCGGCTGGTTGTGTGCTCATGAATCGCTCCTGCGGTCTGTGATTCATATCATTCTCAAACAAACCGGATAGGTCAAAACCTGGCGAGAGAGATATGATGTCGAACGCATTGAAACATGTTGGCCTCATGGGGCTTGTTCCTGCTCCGCTAGAATTCTTGTTGGAACTTTCTTCAGCTGAATGATTTGTTGATGCAAAAGCCTCATGGACATCACGGATTGAGGTGTTTGGATCACACGGAGGGGCTAAAGATGCTTCGATTTGTTTAAACCCCTTCTTGAACCAACTATTCTCCATGATCTTGTCAACACTTATTCTTGAGCTTGGATTAGGATCGAGAATCCTCGAAAGAAGCTTACGTACCTCTGGGGGAAACCACTGAGGGCTCCTGAAGTCTCCTCTGCTGATTTTCCTATACATTTCCATGAGATTGGTGTCATGGAATGGCAGGAAGGCGGCCAGCAGAACAAAGAGGACAACCCCACAAGACCATGTATCCGCCTTTGCGCCATCATAACCTTTCTTGTTTATTACCTCTGGTGCTACATACGCTGGCGTACCACACGTGGTGTGGAGGAGGCCATCTTGTCCCCTAGACTCCCACAATGCGCTTAATCCAAAATCCGAAACTTTGAGGTTTCCATTCTCGTCCACCAAGAGATTCTCTGGCTTGATGTCGCGGTGATAGACCCCTCGACTGTGGCAGTAATCGACAGCCCCAATCAGTTGCTGAAAGTATTTTCTTGCCACATCTTCCTTAAGCTTCCCTTTGGCAACCTTGTTGAAAAGCTCCCCGCCTCTCACGTACTCCATGGCAAAATAAATCTTGGTCTTGCTGGCCATAACCTCAAAGAGCTGAACCACATTCGGGTGCCTCACAAGGCGCATCACGGAGATTTCCCTCTTGATCTGATCAATCAATCCGACCTTCTGCACCTTCTCCTTGTCGATTATCTTAATTGCAACGCTCTGGCCGGACTTCAGGTTCCGTGCATGGTAAACCTTGGCAAATGTCCCTTTTCCAAGCAACCGTCCCACCTCGTACTTGTGCATCAATATGTTTCCTTTTTTCACCTCCATAGTTTTTTCTTCGGGTTTTTTGAAAACCACGACTCGAAATTCACCACACAAACAGCTGATGGTGAAAAATGAGACAAGATCAGTAATATATGTACATGCAATCACTATTCACTCCTTGACTGCAGTAGGGTTATACATACATGCTCATATTCAAACAATTTTTCGTTCTGCCGGCCTAACGATCGATGAAAATGTATTACGAAAATGGGGGGAAAGTAAGGACCGGATCAAGGGACACAAGGAATTTCAACTCATGCGTGCCAAAAGGCAGGATGAGGAAAATCCCTTGTGGAATGCAATCAGAACAGGAGTTCAACTCATGCCAAAAGGCTGCACCCAGAAGACAACCTTTGTGCAAGGACAGAGTGCACTACGAACATCCCTGTAATTATGCTCCCATAAACAAGGTCTCTTAATAGAGAGACACCCTCCAATTCCAATATTCTTCAGTTTTTGCAAAAATAGTAAATAAGTTTGGTTGCTCTCTATCCCCCGTGCTCAAGGACTGGACCACATTTAGGCCTCTATGTATAGTAATAGACCGTTGGAGAAATTACTATCATAAGAAAACGATTATCCAGCTACAAATTACTATAATTAAATAATATACCGAAATTTTACTCTCCTTGCATTTACGGTTTTGAAAAAAACACTTGTCATTCTACAATATGATAAATGATTCAAATTGATATATTGTATGACCCACTACAGTCTATACTAATGGATGAGATTAAAACTCCACAAAATAGCATTCTTACTTTTGTCAATTAATCTCCTAAAAATTTAAAAGATAATGCTGGTGCGATTGCTCTAATTTGTCGACGTCCAGATTAACAGAAGCATGTTCAATCAGGGTAGTGCATGCATGACCAACGGACCACAATGGCAAGCAGGATGGAAGGAAAAAAAAAATAAATGGCAAGCAGGATGTCCACGTGGGTGCCATGTGTGAATCTTGTGTGTGGCCCATATAGCTTACTACTGACCACAAAACTAACTGATACGGTGCAGGAAGAATTAAGAGAGCCTGGCCTATGGAGTTATGGTGGTTGTAAGAGATGGTCAAAGTTGGTCCACAAATACAATGGTGCCAAATGAAGTGAGTTCAATCAGTGGCCTGACCCGGAGGAACAAGATTTCACCAAATCTCAACCCCAAAGTCCACTATGTCTATCCACAGTAGGTTGTTTTCTTGCATGTACACCTGGGTCTTATATACCTCTTTTGCCCCAAACAAATTCTAAGGAATATTTTGTTTAACCGTCACGTGATGTCACTAATCCACATGTTATAATACAAATGGACGATATAGTTCAAAAAAAAAAAATTTACTCCATTTTGAAATGACAAGTTGTTCCCATTTTTTATTTATTTATTTTATCATTTTATTGTAAGGAAAACTAATGAAAAAAGCTTGAAAACTTTGAGTTTTAATGATAAGGACAAAATAAAGAGTAAAGTGAATAGTACCAGGATTGACTTTTTAGTGTAAAAATGTGGTTTTTCGTTAAAGTAAACAGTACCGGGTGCTTTTTGTTAAAGTTCCCCTTATTGTATCTAACTAAACACACTTTAATTTAAGAGACACTTTTGATGCGGTCCTTAACTACCAATGTTCTTTGATTGAAACTTTGGTGGTTTTAACTTTTGATTGAAGTCCCTGACATTAATGTAATAATGTATTTTTATGTAGGTTATAATATTTTTAAATTAAAAATAAAATTTGTAGTTATTTATATTAATGAGATTTTAAATGAAACCCATATTTTATGGGATTAAAAATATTAAAGATGAATTATACTCTCCAATATATTGTGTATGTGTATATATGTATATGTGTGTGTGTGTGTGTACATGGGTACGTTCATGTGTGTGTGTGTACATGGGTACGTTCATCAAAACTAACCAAAAAATTATTGTACCAAAGCATGAGTACATTTTTCAAAAGCACCAAAAAAAAAAAGCCTTAATAACATTATTAAATTTCTTCTATTAAACTTGACATGGATACATTCTCAAATCAACGAAAATAGAATGTATCCATATAAGTTTAAAAATGGATTAGAGAAAAGATTGAATGAAATTTTATATAAAAAAAAATGGGTACATTTTAAATTAAAAAAGGGTGCATTTTTAACAAATTGGTATATTTAAGAATGGATACATATAAGCTTAAAAAATTGAAATTTTTTTATAAAAATTTAATGGGTACAAACTTATTCTTATTTTATTTATTTTATTTGGGAAATGTTTGAATTGAAAATTAATTAGGAGTTTAATAAGGGTGTGAGTATTAAAACTCTAAATCAATTACTAATTTTTTTTATAAAAATTACGTAATTTACATGTAATTCATTAATATATTAATGATAGGGACTTTGATCAAAATCTAAAAACTGATAAGGTCTTAGTTAATGGACATTAGAAACTAGGGACCGAAAACTAATTTTTCCTTAATTTAATAACAAACATTACAATCTAATGATATTTTTTTTCAAATTGTAAGTATGAGATTATGTTTAACGCACACAAATGACAATAATTATTTGTTATTTGTGTTGAATTTGAGACCTAGTTATAAGATTAGTGCTTAAATGTTGATCGAGAGATTAGGATGTGACTAAGAGATATCACATCAGTCAATAATAATATAATTTTTATTTGATGATCAAGTTAGGTCTAACGTGAAAAAGGCTGAGAAAAAAGTTGGGAACTTTAATGAAAAGGGTTTGGATTAAGTTTATTTTAATAAAAATACCATGCTATAACTTTATTTAATGAAAAAGAATCAAAATGTAATGAAAAACCCTTAAATTTCAATAAAAAGGACAATAAAAACCTAATTTTTAATGAAAAGGACACAATTAAAAAAAAAAAATTATGACTCGTGCGCATGACCTGTACACTGTTTATGAAACTAAACACTATTTATGAAATTGAAAGTATTTATAAAACTGCATTATTTATGAAACTAAACAGTACTATACTATTTATTGGTCCAATTTCATAAATAGTGCCTAGTTTTTTGTCCACTTTCATAAGTAGTCTCTAGTTCTTGATCATGTTTCATAAATAATGCATATTTATTGGGTCCAGTTTCATAAATAATGTATAGTATATGGTATAGTTTCATTAATAGTATCTCTTTCTTGGTTCGGTTGCATAAATAGTGTCTAGTTATTGGTCCACTTTCATAAATAGTGCTTAGTTATTGGTCATATTTCATAAATATTGTCTAGTTCTTACTCCAGTTTCATAAAGAGTGTATAGTACATTTTCATAGATAGTTTCTACCTATTGGTTTAGTTTTGAAAATAATCCATAATTCTTGTTTTCGTTTCATAAATAGTGTATACTTATTTGTCATGTTTCATAAATAATGTCTACTTATTGGTCTAGTTTCATTAATAGTGTCTACTTATTGGTGAAGTTTTATAAATAGTGTTTAATTCTTGGTTCAGTTTCATAAGGTTTGAAACTTAGACCCTTTTTGGTCCTGTAAAAGCACCCATTGCGTCGAAAACGATGAACCCAGAAGTGACTCTTTAGATCAAAACCTTGAGAAGATTATGTTCTCAGTAATTATATTTAAAAAGCTATTTTCAATTACCAAATTAAAATTTTCTCACATTTTTCATATACCTACAATAATAAATGTAGCTCTCAATCCAATTTCTTGAGCTTGGGTGTCATCTTGGAGAAATTTTTCCGTGCTCATAACACAAATGGTATACCACGTGTTATTATATAAGTGTGGTGGAAAATTTTATTTTTTATGTTATTAATTTTTTAACATAAGAATCTCGCAACCTGTATTGAGTGTACCATCCTGTATCCTGGGCATATTGAAAAGTTTCTCGTCATCATAACTACTATTAGAAAACAACACCACAAAAATAAAACAGGAGAATGTAATTCAATTCGGAGTATTTTTCTTATTCAATGCAACAAAAAAAAAAAACTAATAATGTAGCTAACGATGGGACAAAAGGTAGGAGAAAAAATTTGGGGGGGGGTGGGTTATGCGCCCGTCGCAAGTGGCTATGTTAAGTTTTTTTTTTTTTTTTTTTTTTTTAGTCTTTTGTCCTTATTATTAAAATAAAGTTAGTATGTGGTTTTTGATTAAAATGTAAAGATTTGAAGCCCTTTTTATTAATTTTCTTAAAAAAGTTTTGGCTTTGTCAAAAGTTGGGTTGCTCGGTACATTTAGAAAAGGAGAGGCCGCAAGCAAAGCAGAAAAATAAAACGCTCAAGAAGCAAGAAGATCAAAACCGAAACGCCATGGCCTCCCTAATCGACAACACATCCCGAATTACCTGACCTTGTCAATCACCAAACCCTCCAACTCCTTTCCACTAGACTTGCGGTTCGGGCCACCATTCTTTCCAAGCAATCGCAGCTTGTATGGCCTTTGGGTCCCGGTGTTAAATTTAAACGAGGAAGAGCTGAACAGCCACATAATGTTGGCAAGCTTCAACACAGTAAGTTGTTCTTTGACATCCTGAAAAGGTGTTTGAAGCACCTTGAGACAGATATGTTCTCATTACCAAGTCTCAAGCGTCTTAAGAAGGTATCCGAGTATCGTCCAGCACTGTCAAAGATGGGATTGATCATGGATCCCTTGCGTTGAATGGCACCAAAGTCTATCAGTTGCAGAGACCTGGGACACAGAAAACAGAAAAATTGAGCTTATAATGAAAGGGAGAGCTGACAACGCAACCTGGTTTTTTCTATTCTGCACCTTCTCGGTTTTTTCTTTGTTAGAGTTTAGGAGTTTTTCTATTTAAACACCACAATCCATCTAAATTCACCCCAATACTTAAGTTTAAATACTTTTTAATTTTTAATCGAGTGAGGAAACAAAAAAAAGACATATTATTACGTAAAACTTAATATACTTCTATTTACACCCAACAAACCCTAATCTTTTCTCAGAACAAAAAAGAACTTGTATAGTTTTTCTTCTTCCCCCTAACAAAGAACACGATTAAAGGTACGAAACATATCTCTCTTTTCTCCGATTTAATAAATAATATAAAAGCTGTTTTATTGTTAAAATCGCTACGCTCCCAACAATACAAGGCCGAACGAAAAGGATTTGTTCGGCAGGAAAAGATTGAATGCGTAGGTCTTAAAATTAAAAGATTGAATGCGTAGGTCTTAAAATTAAAAGGAGGATCAATTCAATCTTAGACATCTATCTAGAAGAGAAGTATTATTGGACTAAAAAAGCTGTTTAGCGATTAGGTTGTCCTTCACAGCCAAAACTTCTACAACCAAACCAACTAAGCTTTTGTTTGATATAAATTCAAGGTATTTTTAGCGACATCCTCACGGACATGCTCACTTGATCGCCATCTTTTTTGCGCGACTAATGATATGGCCCTCTGTTAGTGAATGGT